TATATTATCTAATAGCATACCTCCTGCATACTTACACATAAACACACACATAGTACATCCATGTACATATTCCCATTTTTGCTACCTCTCTCATCTACCCAGTTTTCATTTTTCTTAAGTAACCTTAATTTTTATGATACACTGCTATCTAAAGTACTTCTGTTTAACAGCATAAACTAGTTTGACTCTATGGTTCTACAAAAGTGGAGAATATATTTACCAAATCAGTAGTTCTTTACTGTGACTATGTGTCAAACAGGGATTGTTTTTCTTTTTAAATACAGTTTTCTAGGCCCTATCTTCATGTTTTTATGCAGGCATGGGAGGGGAGATGCAAGAGGCATCTCTGTTTTTTCAAAATAAGCAGTTGATTCTGATGGCCAGCCAGACCACACAAAGAATTTTCAGTTTGTTTTGCAACTGTTAAATAGGAACACTAGATGGTGCTGTTTGACAACCTGGAAAGAAATTTATGCTGTACCCAGAGTATGCATTCAGTGATAAATTTCCAATGAATTGTGTGTGTATACGTTCTTCATTATCATGAAAAGGTATGCTTACTAGAATTCTAAAGGAAAGCACAAGAGCAGACAAATATTGACAGAAACCACAAAAGAGTACCTAATAAATTTTTTTAAGTGGTGATTTTTTTTGCTTTTTTTTTTTTGAAATGGAGTATCATTCTGTCGCCCAGGATGGAGTGCAGTGGTGCAATCTTGGCTCACTGCAACCTCCATCTCCCGGGTTCAAGCAATTATTTTGCCTCAGCCTCCCAAGTAGCTGGGACTACAGGCGTATACCACCACACTCGGCTAATTTTAGTACTTTTAATAGAGATGGGGTTTCTCCATGTTGGTCAGGCTGGTCTCGAACTCCTGACCTCAGGTGATCCACCCACCTCGGCCTCCCAAAGTGCTGGGATGACAGATGTGAGCCACTGCGCCCGGCCTAAGTGGTGAAAAATTTTAAGTGGTGAAAATGTTACCTTCTAATGAGCATCATTTTTAAAACATTAGGATTTAAGTGTGTGACTGATAATTCAATTTAGTGAATGAGTAATTTTCTTGATTTCTTAGTTACTTTATCTTAGCTTTCCATAAGAAACAGTAAAACCTCTTACTATAGAATAAAGTATACACTTTAAAATAAATAAAGAATAAACTTTATCCAGCTTCGTAGTCCACAGGTGATTAAGAAGAGGGCAAGAAATATTACATTGTCTTTTCCCTATACTGTGACTGTGGTGCTTAAGATCCAAACACTTTTTACATGACAATATACAGTCTTTCTGGAATAAAAGAAAAAAAGAAAAACATTTTTACTTTAAAAAAACTTTCCTTGATAAGTTGCAACAAAAGCTATTAATTTCTTCCCGTTTCATTTTTGATAAAATATAATTAACTGATTTTGAATGGTTACTGTTTATTAAGCCTTGTTTCACTTTGGTAAGTACAATCTAAACATGTCCTTTAACCTTTACAAGAAGCCTGAAATATATTACTTGCAATGTGTTATTGTTACTAGTTCAAAAATGGAGGGAACTGGCTCAGAGAGGTTGTTACTTGCCTGTAGAACTCATTGATAGGAAGAATAGGATCCTGAGTTTGATTCCAAGTGTCCGTGCCATAATCTCCTAACCTTATATGGTACTTTTCAGTATCGATATTTCTGCTACTTTTCAGAAAAGTTATTTATTTAATCAGGCTAAAAACAGAAGTGAGCAAACGGAAATGTCATTTATTGATTTACCTCTAAGAAAATGAATAAATTCATTTATTTCACTCAGAAGCAGATATTTGATTGAACCACTACTATATGTCTGCCTCTGTGTAAAACGCCTGACAGAATTGTTTAAGTTGGTGGGGGACTCAATAAAGGTGTCCAGTTGCAAGTATAAATTCAGAACTGACAGATGGTATCAGAGCTGTCTTCCATCAAAAGTAGAAATGAGATCACATTTTTATGGAGGACTGTTAGCAAATTAGTAACTTGAAAGGATGCCCTTTAAAAAAGACAATCCCAACAACAAAAAGAGAAAAAAAAAAGATTTTAAAAATTTTTAATCAAATAGGAAAATATGCCTTTTGATACTGCCCCTCATCCAACTAGAGAGGGATTAAAAGAAATGATGATAAAAGGATAGGCTGGGTGCAGTGGGCTCATGCCTGTAATCCCAGCACTTTGGGAAGCCAAGACAGGCAGATCTCTTGAGGTCAGGAGTTCGAGACCAGTCTGGCCAACACGATGAAACCCCGTCTCTACTAAAAATACAAAAATTAGCTGGGCATGATAGTGCATGCCTGTAGTCCCAGCTATTCGGGAGGCTGAAGCAGGAGAATTGCTTGCACCTGGGAGGCAAGGTTACAGTGAGCCAAGATCATGTCTCTGCACTCCAGCCTGGGCAACAGAGCAAGACTCTGTCTCAGAAATAAAAAGGATAAAGGAATTCATAACTTGGTAAGAGAAAGATAACTTTTTTTTTTTTTAAGTATGGCATTACGTACAATTTGGAATATAGGGGTTGTGTTAGGTAGAATTCTAAAGATGTTGCCCCAGGATTTCTGTTCCCTGGTAATTCAGTCAAATACTAATCTGGGTACTGCTATCAAGGGACTTTGTAGATGAGAGTTAAAGTTACACTAATCAACTGACCTTAAAATAAAGAGATTATCCCAGGTCACGTGTGTACAGGTGGGCTCAGTAAAATCACATGAGCAGCAGCAGAACGCAGAAATGTTCGTCATGGTATTGCAGAGAAAGGGAGCAGAAGAGAGAAGGGAAAGTCAGAGAGGGTCTAATGGAAAGGATTTGAGTGCCATTGCTACTCTGAGATATGGGGCCCACATATGAGAAATGGCAAGAGAGGATCTAGGAGCAAAAAGGGATACCTACCAGCAAAGAAATGGAGAACTCAGTCACACAACTGCAAGGAAGTTGATTCTGCCAGCATCCTGAATGAGCTTGGAGGCAGATTGTTCCCCCAAAGCCTCCAAGTAAGGAAGGTAGCCCTACCTACACCTTAACTTTAGCCTGATGATGACTGTGTTAGATTTCTGACCTTAACGGAACAGTAAGGCAGTAGGTGTTTTATGTTGCCAAGTTTGTGGTAATACGTTATGGCAACAGTGACTAATACAGAGAACAAAATTCAACCTTATTCATATTATCTCACACCATTAATATTATTTTGTTTATTCCCTTCCTATCTTTGTTGATATGTGCTATTTGCTTAATTATAAACATAATAGTGCACATTTATTTTTGGATCCTACTTTTTTGCTTAACTTGATCAAATACTTTTCTCTGTGTTGCTACATAGTTCTAATGATTATTACTTTTAATAGGAATATAGTATTTCTTTCAGTATATGAGGCATGATATGCTTAACCTGCTGGACTTTTATGGTGCTTCTAGATTTTCACTGTTATTAAACTGAAGTGTGCATTTCTTCTCATACTTGAAATTATTGGAATAGATTCTCAGATATATCATGACTGGGTCAAAAGGATATGAGTGTTTTTGTAACTTCTGTTATATATTGGCAAGTTTTAAGTAGCTTACCAATTTATAAGTCCTTAGGATAAGAGAACCATAATCACTGAAATTATAATCACCATTAGCATCTTTTTATTTTATTTTTATTTTTTTGAGACACAGTTTCACTCTGTCACCCAGGCTGGAGTGCAGTGGCACAATCTTGGCTCACTGCAACCTCCATCTCCCGGATTCAAGCAATTCTCTTGCTTCAGCTTCCCAAGTAGCTGGGATTACAGTCAGGTGCCACCACACCCAGCTACGTTTTGTATTATTAGTATAGATGGGGTTTTACCATGTTGACCAGGCTGGTCCGAACTCCTGACCTCAGATGAGCTACCCTCCTCAGCCTCCCAGAGTCCTGGGATTATAGGTGTGATCTACCAGGCCTGGCTGCTAGTATCTTTTTAAAATACATTTTTTTGCCAGTAGGGAGATGATAATTGGTGGAGAGTTTAAATTTAGTGGTTCCTAATTTGTTCAAAGAATTAATGTATAAACTACTATTTTAAGTATTTTGGGGGGATAAGAAGCTGAAAAAGTATAGTACCTAATGAAGAAGTAGGAGAGTGAAAAACAGTTATAATGAAGTTAGTCATACACAAGTCATAATCTCTTATGAAGGTAGTTCTTCATATCAGAGACTAGACCAACTCAATTTTTTTTTATCAGCAGTGCATTTACAGTCTGCTGATACTGCATTGTTATTTTCAGCATCTATCATACTGATTTTCTAATAGCTATTAAAACCCTAATTATTGTATAGTTGATTGTTCTTTTAAGTTCCCAACTTACATTCCATTGATATCTTGAGAAATGAAAATTTTTAGATAGCAAAAAAGTATGCATAAACATATTTTGATTGAGTCGAGAGAGACTAAGTGCTAACTTACAGTATTCTACATACTTCAAAGCCAAGTGGATTACTGGACTCAGAACGAAGGTCTAGCTAATACAGAAATACAAAGTACATATTTTCTCTACAACTTTATACCTTTAGCTTGCTGCAGTGTAAAGGAGCAGTGAGTTAAAGTAAAAAGACACTAAATGAGTTAAAGTAGAATGACACTAGACCCTATTGTGTTATTAACTGTTACCTTGAACATTCGCTTAACCTCTGAGCTTCTGTTTTCTGTTCTATAGAAAGGGGGATTGAATATGTTGATCATGTAAAAATTGATCTTACAGGAGAATTATGAAAGGACTTTATAGGCCGTGAGGTGGGCTATTAATAAAAGGTACATGATAGAAATCATCATGTTATCTGTGACTCGTATGGAAATTAAATGAGGAAATTCCCATAAGCACCTAGAACGGACCTGGCACGTGGTAAGCATTCAGCATTAGCCAGTATGAAAATGGAGACTAGAATAGTCTGTTTCTGAAAGATTGTGTAATTAAACTGCTTTAGAATCTGTGCAAAAAATAAAGCGTACTTTAAATAAGCACATGCTTTTATTTTCTAGGATCAAATCTAAATCGCTGTGGTTTCCGAGGCTCTTCATACCTGGGTATTCCATTCAATCCATCAAAGGTTGGTTCTGTTTGGGTCAGAAGGAAGCAGAAGGGATGTAGGGATATTTTAGTGAAAGAGGAAGCTAAGAAATTACACAGAAAAAAATAGGCTTCCAGGTTTCAGTGTGGCTAAGTATTATCTAATAATATATATATTATAAACTGAAACCCTTTAAAGGAAGCCTATACCTACTTTAATTCCTCAAAGAAGTGCACTTTCTTCCAGGAAGAATATATGCAGTACATAAACACATAGAAATTTCTATTAATTGTTACAAAAAATTGTCTCAGTATCATGTATCTGTGTGTAAAAGTTATTAGTGATTTCCTGAGTAAAGGAAAGTAGAGCACTGAAGTGTTTTGATACTTGCTCTCTAAGAAGCCAGTAAACTTCACTGTGTTATAGAAAGACTCTACATTTAACTCACATTTCTTAGGAATAAAAGAAAAAGTCCTTCTAAAGGTGGTGATTGAAGACCTAGGTAGTGATTATTTTAATGACTTTTATGAGAATATGCAGAACTTCTTCATGGTTATATCCAAAGGCTTTGATACCAGCACATGCCAATATAAAAACAGTGAGTGTGAAGAGGGAGGAGCTTGCTTTCTTCAAAGGAGCAGACCCAGAAGAAACTTTGTAGGTGTTCCATATGTACACAAAATATCAATATTTTTCTACAGTATAAAGTGGAGAAAAGCATCATTTTTTTCTAAAGAGGCCTCACAACATAGAAACTTTTTCCTTGATGGGGCCAGCCTGCTTATATAATGGTTGTTATTATTTATATTATAATATAATGGTTATAATAATAACCATTGTTGGACTGAGTATATCAAGATTTATATCCACTTGCAAAGTAAATGGAGAGCTACCAGTTTTTCCACAATCAGCTTCAAATTTTTGGAATAAATAGTAGTGATTTTGGAGAAGATGACATACTTTGATAGAGGTACTACTTCAGCTTTCTTCCTCTGTCTTAAGCTGTAAACCAACTTACCTGTGTTAAAGTCATATGTATTTACCAGCAGGACTCCAATTATGCGTGTCTCCTGTATTTAGCAGGGAATGAGAAAACAAAGGATTCAGAAAATTTGTCCCTTTTCATGCCTATCATATTTTCCAACTTAAGCTAGTCCTGAATAAAGGTAATGTCTTCATTTAGTCATAATGAACAGAATATCGTGCCGTTGGTTATGATAACCATTGTATAGTACTATACTATATATAGATGTCTACCTATATTTGTTGCAGTGCTTTAATAACATTACTTTTAAAATATGATCCTTCCCCCAACCGATGCCTGCACCAAAACATTTTCAAAATAACAGGAGTAAAATTGAAGAAGAAACCATTATTGCCCTTGGTTCACAGACTCTCCTGAAACTCCTTTTTGGACCTTCATTCACCTGGACCCTGATATCTTCTAGGCAAGCTAGGTCTCACTTCATGCTGTATTACCTTCATCTGAATTCTGGGTGGTAAAAGAAACTAGATATTCCAAGTGGTATCACATAGAGCTGTCAGAGTGGTGGCCGAGAGTCTAGGAGACAGATTAGGCCAAGAGAATGTGAGGAGGCACATTGGTTTGTCCAGTACAGTATATGAATAAAATATTGTCACTGAGTTTTCTTCTGAAACCACCAAACTATGTATGGACCATTCATTGACTTACCTGATAAATGCTTGGGACCTTCAGTGGCTGTAGAGCACTTTTTGAGAAACTGATGGATCCTCCCACTATTCTCACGATTTCCTTTCACAAATCCTATGCTCTCTATCAAATTTTGTATTGTCCTTAATGTGCACCCCAGAATTTTCTTTCTCTAATTTGCTTTTACTTTTTCTTCTACCTGTAATGCCTCCTCTTCATCTATAGCTGCCCAAGCTCCTCTTTTGCAGAAAAGAATTCCTTTTTAAACCTATGTATCGTTATCCCTCCCTTATGACTGCTCATTACATTTTATTGTAATTATTTGAGTAGACTTACCTTCTGCCCTTAAGGTTAAGGTCCACATTTAATTTATGTTTGGCTTCCCTGCAGTTCTTTTAACATAGCAGGTGTTTACTTTAAGTATCAAAAAGTTAAATATGCAATAGGAATTCTAAGAAGTCAATTGTAAATGTGGAGTAGGATAGCCAGGAGAACTGGAGCTTGAGTTCTGAGGAGGAACTTAGAATGAAAGATGTAAAGGTGGAAATTTGCTTGGTACATTTGTGAGACCATATAAAGAACTGTGTATCTGGCCAGGCACGTGGCTCACACCTGCAGTCCCAGCACTTTGGGAGGCTGAGGAGGATGGATCACTTGATCTCAGGAGTTTGAAACCAGCCTGAGCAACATGACAAAAACCTGGTCTCTACATAAAATACAAAAATTAGCCGGATGTAGTGGCAAGTGCCTGTAGTATCAGCTACTTGGGAGCCTGAGGCAGGGCAGGAGGATTGCTTGAACCTTGGAGGCGGAGGTTGCAGTGAGCTGAGATTTGTGCCACTGCACTCCAGCCTGGGTGACACAGCAAGATCCTATCTTAAAAAAAAAAGTGTGTATCTAAACTTGGGTAGGTGGGGTGGGTTCAGATTATTATAAAAAGAGTAGTGAACACCGTTCACACTCATTCTGTGAGGAGCCACAGAAGGTCAGTATGCAAGAAAATCTTACAGTTAAGTCATGGGTGGTTTCAAGACCCTTGAATCCTGACTCCAAAGAACTAGTGGCCCCTTTGATATTTGCGTTGCACTTAATCATCATTAAGATAACAGCTTTTTAGACAGTAACTTATTTAATCGTCACAATAACCTTGTGAGGTGTAGGTAATAATATCTTCATTTTCTAGAATTAGGAACATTAAGCAAGCCAGTGAGAAATAGAACCAGGATTTTATGCCTTTCAATGATTGTAAAAGTTTACATTTATTATAGAAGGCAGAGGAATTTATTTTAATTGTATCGTTTTTTAGTTTCTTATGTGGTGATCACTACTGTGGTATTTAACTTAAGTTTGTGCTATATAAAATAAGTTTTGTTTCAGAAATCTTTTTTTCTGGAAGGCTATATGCTTTTCTGACTTTATAAGACTTAAATTATAAGTGATAGAGTTGATTATCTCTGTCATTACTTTTAAAATATGATCCTTCCCCCAACCGATGCCTGCACCAAAACATTTTCAAAATAACAGGAGTAAAATTGAAGAAGAAACCATTATTGCCCTTGGTTCACAGACTCTCCTGAAACTCCTTTTTGGACCTTCATTCACCTGGACCCTGATATCTTCTAGGCAAGCTAGGTCTCACTTCATGCTGTATTACCTTCATCTGAATTCTGGGTGGTAAAAGAAACTAGATATTCCAAGTGGTATCACATAGAGCTGTCAGAGTGGTGGCTGAGAATCTAGGAGACAGATTAAGGATTAAGGATGAGGTTTAAGTTATTTAGCCAGATATGGTGGTTTGTGCCTGTTGTAGTCCCGGCTACCCAGGAGGCTGAGGTGGGAGAATCACTTGAGCCCAGGAATTGGAGGCTGCAGTGATCTATGATTGTACCACTGCATTCCAACCTGGGTGACAGATAAGACCCTGTTACTAAAAAAAAAAAAAAAAAAAAAGTAAGAAATAATTTGGTTTACCTGAATATCATCACTACTTCCATAATGCCTGAGGTATCAAAGATTAGGTAGCCTGGAATGTATTCAATCATATTCATGTTGAGATATATATAAAATGGAGATTTGTTTTTCTCAATAAGATGTCTATACAAATCAGTATAAGCCACATTTAATTTTACTATTTACTAAAACCTTATGTCAGATTTCTTAATGAAATAAGTTTTCATATCACTTCATTAATTAGTGCTATATTAATTTTGTATTTAGGCTCCTGGAACAGCTCATCCTTATGATAGTGGCCACATAGCAATGACTTACACTGGCCTTTCATGCTTAGTTATTCTTGGAGACGACTTAAGCCGAGTAAATAAAGAAGCTTGCTTAGCAGGCTTGAGAGCCCTCCAGCTGGAAGATGGGAGGTATGAGTGATTCTTTGTTACTTTTTTTGTAATAAAAAAAATATTTTGGAACTAAAAAATGGATACAATACTATACTAGATCTTTAGAGGATCATACTCTTATTGTTAGAACTCCACCTAAAGCTTACAAGGTACATGATAAAGTGCGTAATCAAAAAAGTGACCCAAGATTTCTTCTGTGAGTGAAAATAAAAATAATTACAATAGCCAAACACTTTTCTCTTCCTTCTTAACAACAATGGGTACATAAATAAATGGTCGAATAATTTCAGGATTGGAATCTAATTTACATTCTAGATGAAAAATTGATATTTTGAAGGACGTATATGTTTAGTCTGAACTTCAGTTCCTTGCTTTATGCTGATTAGGGAAGAAAGGGGTGAACATAGAATATTATATTCCAGAGTAGGTAGGGTAGTTTCTGTGACGTTTTTAAAGGATAAAAAAAAGGAGTTCATATGTTCATTAATATTTGGTGATTCACGTGGTATGTCTACAGATGAATCTTCCTGGAGCTTTAAGGTAGAAAAAGATTTTTAAGTCTGAGAAGGGATAAAGCAGTAGTGAAAAGGCTAAGGAAAAGACTGCAAACAAATCCTGCTGTGCTTTTAACTCTTTGTGTTCCATCTACTAATAGCTCTGTTTTTCTGTCAGTGTTTTCAAAACACTGCTCTTGATGAGGGAAAAATAAATGTAGACAATTAGAATAAATTGACATTAATTGGAAACACTATGAAACTAAATATTTACTTCAGCCTGTACATATATGGCTTATGTCTCAATATTTCAGAGTAGCCTTTGATTATTGGTTCCTTATTCTTGTTTATAAATACATACACAACATAGATTGCTCCTTCTATACAACTAATGTGTAAAATTAAAATACAGTATGATCAATCGATTAAATGGTTATCTGTGTATACATTTAGAAGAAATTTCACGTAGAAAAACTTGGGCTTGGAAATTTCTTACTACTTAGAAATTTCTTACTAAGTGGGTCTTAGGTTTTACCTTTTACATTTTCTGCCATTCTCAAGCCAGTGTACTGCAGCTGTCCCTGGCTGGGAGCAAATAAGCATGTGCTGAGTAAGCATCTGGGAGGGAGTAACATGGTAGTGTGTAAAATGACCAAGAAATCAAAAGTTTGTACTAGAATGATGATTTAGAGAAAGTTTTATATTATTCAAGTTAGTAGTCCTATTCTTTATTGAATAATAAAAGTGGAATAATCAACAGATTTTTCTGTAAGTAAAGACACACAGGAGGTGTTTCTAACCCCCATGCAAAAAAAATCAGAATCCATTGTTAATAGAAAATCATACTGTTGTTATTATTTTCAGTTTTTGTGCAGTACCTGAAGGCAGTGAAAATGACATGCGATTTGTGTACTGTGCTTCCTGTATTTGCTATATGCTCAACAACTGGTCAGGCATGGATATGAAAAAGGCCATCACCTATATTAGAAGAAGTATGGTGAGTTCTATTGATAAAATTGACTATTTAGGTTGTTTTTGCTGGTACATGAGGGCTGTATTATAGTGTATGTCTCATCTCTTCCACCAACAATCTGTAAATGAGAGCATTAAGATTGCTTTTTAGGTAAATTGTGTATCAGACCACAATAAAGAAATGAAGTACAGATTGACTCCTTGACCATTAAAATTTAATATGATTTTATTTAAAGAAGCAGTATCTTTGTAAGAAAGGGATTGATTGACTTAAAAGAAAAAGAAGTAAAATCTGAAAGTCAAATATTGACAGCTTATTCTAGCAGGAGTTAGTAGAGAGTCCTGACAAGCAAACTGGAAGATTATGTTATCTTTGATGAGACTTTTTATTGGCATTAGTAAGGAAAGCTTAGTCTCAGCAGAACTATCCTTTGCTGTACTGTGTCATCTCTGTATAAAAGGAGAAATAAAACTACCGCTTCACAGGTTTATTATTTTCCAAATGAAGTGTTTGATTTTATAGATTATTTTGAGGCTGTTAGAATATTTTAGGCTGTTAATTCAACTTTTCGTAGGCAGTATTTCAAAGTGAAAATGTCTATGAGTTCCTAAGAAGAATGGAGTTGCATTTAAGTGAATGTGTAACTGTGGATCAGATTTTTGTAGAATCTACAGCAGCACAAATTTTATTTTATTTTATTTTATTTTATTCTATTTTTTTTGAGGCGGAGTCTTGCTCTGTCGCCCAGGCTGGAGTGCAGTGGCACTATCTCGGCTCACTGCAAGCTCCGCCTCCTGGGTTCACGCCATTCTCCTGCCTCAGCCTCCCGAGTGGCTGGGACTACAGGCGCCTGCCACCACGCCCGGCTAATTTTTTTCTATTTTTAGTAGAGATGGGGTTTCACCGTGTTAGCCAGGATGGTCTCGATCTCCTGACCTCGTGATCCACCCATCTCGGCCTCCCAAAGTGCTGGGATTACAGGCTTGAACCACCGCGCCCGGCAGCAGCACAAATTTTAAAAAGCCTGTGGATACAGAAAGAAGAGACCATTAAAGGAGTTTTAAGAGGAAAATAGGTTTATGTTTGATAGGAGGGTGGGTGATAAGAATTTTTGGTATGAATGGTACAGAAGTAATACTGGCTTCTCAGTGCATTGTATTTGGAGGTACAGCAAGTTGATTTGCCCTATGTCTGCTCAGTTGGCTAAGATGGCATATGCCAGAGTTTTCTCTGTGAAGTTAATACTTTTCCCTTTGTAATTACTGAATATCTTGTAGTGAGATATCTGGAGACTGTAAATATTCAGTGAGTCCCTAATCAAATTTTTATCCAATAGTGTTGTTAGTATGCATTGAACGTTTTCCAGCTCTCGCATCCTTCCTATAAATATCAGTTAAAATTCTACTGTTTGAAAAAAACTTTCCCTTTGCCTTCATTTATTTATTTACTTGTACTTACTTATTTATATCTCTATGGACTCTAGTTTCTAATTTTATTCAGTGGGTTGTTATCTGTTACTGTCATTATTTTGATGCTCAGATTGCCCCAGATCAGGCCTGGGGGAACCCCTTTAAGTAGGCTCTATGCCCTTTTGACATAGGGCATAGAAGACCTCCTTGCTTTCTGGCACAAGATATTCCAGGTTTATCTTCTACTTTTCCCTCCTTAGCTCTGGAATCAGTCATTTCTTTGAGGAGCCTTGGTTATTCTTGTTGGAGGATAGAGTTTAGAAACTTGAATCTGGGTACTAGGTATGCTCATTGGTATTGAGATGTCATTACTTCTAGGCCTTTTCTCAGGCAGAGATAGAAAATGTATGCATACATAGGCATCCCCTTACAGACACACACAATCTGTATTTCTGTGTCTATTTATGTATCTATATATTAAAACCATGAATATCGTGATGCCTCAAATTTCAGTCTAACACCACAGGGCTCATTTTAACTTTCGTCCTTTCATTTGTGACTCCATTCTCCGAAAGTGACAAGCAATCCCGGTTCCTATTACCCAGAATACATTGGTTCTTTTTGTTTTGAGTCTGAGGGCATATAGTCAGAATACTATATTTAAGAAGTACTTCAGTTACTTATTTTATTTCCCTCCTTTAATATGGTTATGTTATCTGCTTGAAATACAAGTAGGTTATTTGTTTGTCTTTGATTTCCATTTTAGGCTTTTCCTTCACTTTTAGCTCTCTGCTGCCCACAACTTTGACTTTATTTATTTACTTAATATGTGAAAAATTAATTTGGTTCTTAACTTCAGAACTATACAAAAAGATACATACAGAGAAGTATGACTCCTTGCCCCTCACCCTCCCTGTCTTCCACCCTCTTCTTAACTCCCATACTTAACATCTTGTTCCCTGTCACCCTGTAGGTAACCATTCTCATTAGTTTTCAGTTTATCTTTCTTCCATTTCTTACTGATGAGAAGATACGTATATTTTTAATGCTTTTTCTTTCTTCATAAGGTAGCATACCATACTCTTTTTTTGCTGTTTGCTTTTTTCACTTAACAGTATAGCTTGGGAGAAAAAAACACAAAAAACCACCAGTACAATGTGAAAATTACTCCTTATCAGTTCAGAGAGATTTTTCTTTTTTTCTTATAGTTTCCTATTATATTACTCCACTGTGTGAATGCACCATGGTTTTTTTCAGCGATTCTATATTTAGAGCATATATTTTGCAATTACAAATAATGCTGTAATTAATAACTTTCTGCATATATATTTATATATTGTTATAGATACATCTTCAGAGTAAATTTCTGGTAGTGGAATTGCTTGATCAAAAGGTAAATGCATATGTAATTTTATTAGAGATTTCCCATTTTCTCTCCAAAAAGAATAGACCAGTTTGTTTTCCCACCAATATAAGAGAGTGCCTGTTTTCACATAGCCTCACCAGTAAAAAGTGTTATACTTTCTTTGTTTTTACCTTTTTTTCTGGTGGTCAAAAAATGTTATTTCAGTATATTTTTAATTTTGCTCCCCTCCTCTCATGATTTTTCATTTTATTATTTCCTTTATTATGAGTGTAATTGACCATTTTCTTAACTCGAGGGCCATACAAATCCAGACTGCAGGCCAGAGTTAGCCTTTGGGCCATTGCTGACCCCTAGTTCTAGTCCATTATTTTACATTTGCTTTTTTTCTTCTTCTTTTTTTTTTTTTTTTTTAGGAATTCCATTTTAGTGTCTGTTCTTTTTTTTGTCTGACCTTCTTTTCAGCCACTTTCTCTTTGACCTTTTTGACTTATTTATCTCATTTTTATTCTCTTGGCTGTTTTCTGCTTTTTTCAGTGTCCCTTGTTGTATTTTCATTTGAGATTATTCTTCCTTAGTCATCCTGTAATTTAGAATTTATTTCTTATTTTGTCTTTTTCTTCTATTTCTTTTCTAACACTATTTCTCTTTTTATTTCTGTTGTTTGTTCATCTGTTTTTAACTTTTAATTTCCTTTTTTATTTCCAAATGCTTGGTTGAAGATATATATTTGAGTGTGGAGTGCTACATTACAGTTTTCTTCTGATTCATGCCTACTTCTTGGGAGTAGAGGCAGATTTTTATATACTTAGGTGTTTTCATTTCATTTGCTGTGTTTTCATCTCAGAGTTACTTTGTATTGTTAGTAATTTTATGGAGTTTTTTTTTTTTTTTTTCTTAGAAGAATTCCTAGTTTAAGATTGTTCTCTTCATTGTAATGAAGTATGCTTTCTTTAATGGGTGGCTTTTCTTTGTAGCTGGGATTGTTCCATGATTTTTATGGTAGGAAAACGGTTCTCTTTTGTTTCTCAGGTATCTGAATTTTGCTCTTTTGAGTTATCCTTTATTACCTGATTTTCAAAGGGCTTCTCCCTCCGTTTTTAATTTTCTTCAGCAAAATTTGAGCCCTGCCGCCTTGACTTGCACATTCTTTTAAGTGCCTTCCATATAGCCAGTACTGTGTTTGCCAGGCCTCTTTCAGAATAGGCTATCCTCATTTTGCATGATAGTGCCATACTGTGATAACCACACAAGCTGAAATGATACACAGTGATTTTAATCGATGGGAAAAATTATGATTGTTTTGTGACCTTTAAAATTTTTGCCAAAACATTGAAAATTCTTCCTGTCAGTTATAAATGTATAATGTTTTAAATAGTAAAATCAGCATATAGTATACTATAATGTTTTAAATAGTAAAATCAGTATATCGTATACTATAATTTTAAACATTGGAAATACTGAGAATATTGCCCTCTTCTCATTATATAAGTTATAAGATGGAGTCTTTTTTCTGTGTGTAGGCAAATGACCACAATCTAAGCTTCTGTCAGCTTCCAACGTATGTTTTGTGTTTTCAGTGTTGTGAAACCTCTGAGAATTCCTTTTATGTGAAGTTTTTTTTGCCCATAGCAATTCCCTAGAACATCTTCATCTTTTTTTATCACAAGCCCTTCCCTTTCTTATAGATGTTTCACCTTCACTTAGTTCTTCTGACTGTATATCTAGAGTCTCAAACAGCAATATTATCAACTTCCCGGTAATAGCTATTTCTTCTATAACTCTAATTTTAATTTCATACCCAGTGTTAATGCTTTTTATTTCTTTGCTGCACTTTCATCTTTGTTGGCCAAGCCCCTCTTTCCGTTATGCCTTTTAATAAAACATCATGTGGGTTTATCACTAAGAGACAAAGAGCACAACCACATCTGCTATGTGTGTGTGAACTGAATAACATGTGCAATGACCAGTTCCTAACAGACTTTGAAAAAGGTGGTGTGATTGATAACTGATCATGATGCACATCTCTTATTTATGTAGTCATCTGCAGACTGAAGAGCCAGTAACGGAGTTTTGTACTTTCTGCAATTGCAGTTAATATGCTGCTGTGGTTACTGAAGTTTGTTGTGTACTTAGCTAAACCATGGCAACTGGAATGTGTGCATAAGAGAACTGTGCAAAGTGAGAACTGCCTGTATTTCTCATATTTAGGGTGGACTTTCTCTTTTAGGCAGTGATTTTAGATCAGTCTCGGAACTACTGTTAGCTCCCCTCCTCATGATTTTTCATAAATCACCCTTGCTCTCTGCAAAGGTGTGTCAGAGTTGCAATAGATGGCTTGCTGGGATTTGATGTTTCTTTTTCTGTAGACAGGTAATCTGAAGCTTGAGTGTGTCTTCTTGCTTTGCTAAGGTTTGAGTTTTCAAAGTTTTACTGTTCTTCTGTTTTGATTTTGGAGTGTATGTGGGGAGATTCAAATAATGGTACCCAGTAATGGCTATCATTATTCTCAGTGACCCCAGACTGCCTCAAATAGACTTGTTTCATGTTTATAATGTTCTATCAGTGTGAAATCCTTACATTTTCCTCCAACTCATGCATACTTGCAATGGTAAAGGAGTAAGGTTTGGAGCTTTTATTGAATTGAGATTGAATATGTAGATAACTTTGAACAATCTATTCTCAGAATGTGCCTAGTGTATGCATTTAGTGGTTTGGCTTGGTGAATAAGAAGACAAAATCAGGTGTTTGAAAATGCCTAATTCTATTCTCCATGGGGAAAAACACATATTTTGGAAGATATAAAGGAGAAATAAAATTAGAAGAGACCACAAACTTAGTGCAATGGCAACTTATTTATTCATTTATTATTATCATTATTATTTCCCTATTAAACTGAACATTGTTTTTCTTTTTCAGTCCTATGACAATGGACTGGCACAGGGAGCTGGACTTGAATCTCATGGTAAGACATCTTAAATAAGTGAACATGTAGTTTCTTTTGTTCCCTTAGACAACATCTTGGTGTCTTCAGTATGGAGAACCTCAAAAGTTTTTCTCAACCCTTGGTGCAGCATAATTTTCTTCTTTGTCACTTTCCTGATTCTCTTTTGACGCCATTTTGTATATTTGAAGGCTCTTTGGTCAGTTATCATTCAGGTATTATTCAGGCTGGGATGTTCATATGATATTTTCTAGTAGTCTATTCAGGTGTTAGCTACATGAAAATATCTTGGGATTGTTTCTTACTCTATTGTTAGAAAACAACAGGTTTTCTTTGGCATAACTCTAAAAGGCTAGACCAAATATAGAATATTAAATATGAATGAACAAGTTCATGAAGAAATGAAAATTTTTATTTACCTTCCTTAATAAAATTATTAGTCATAATCATAAAACATTTTGCTGCTTAGCTTATATTTAGTGCAAACATTAATACAGTCTTTTCTTTCGTGTTTTTTTCCACTTTTGGAAGAACTAGAATAATGTGATAGTCACTAAGTTTGTCAGCACATCAATAGCCTGAGTTCTCTCAAGTTGAAATTTCCATTTGGAAATAAATAAGCTTCCATTCTTCTTTTCTAAAAAGGAAGTGGCCAGGTCATGGAGCCTCTCTGAGTGAATTTCAGTTTCCTCCTCATCACAACAGTTTTCTGTATGATTATTTGTTATCTCTATCCCTTTGCTAGCATAATGGAGCAGAAAGAACAGAGCAGTGTTCTGGTCTCGGCCCTGACACCAACTGAGTGACCTTGGCTCCTCACTTAATTTCTCTAAGGGTTTCCTCATCAACAGAGTAGAAAGGATTGTATCTTTCTTTAGGATTGTTGTTAGGATTATAAGAGATGCGGGGAAAAGTGATTTGTAAATCATAAAACCTGTATAAAAAGATATTTCTAATAAATATTCCTTAACCCCATAGCCTTGTATATACTCTGGGATTTTGTCCTATCAAGTATTTCCTCCTCTTCTCACCTCTTCACTCCCTCCTTAAATTTAGGTAGTTGTAGACTATGTGTCTCTAAGGGGTATATAGAACACTGTCCTGGAGTTTCCTCTGAAGCCATACTATAATTATGACACCGTAGTTTTTGTATGTGCCTGAGTCTATGAGATGGAGGGTGGGAGGAGCTGGCTGTAACAATTATGTTATAGTCATCGCCACATGATCAAGAGGGATGTAGTTATAGTTGTACAAAAAGGAAATCTGGTGGCTCTAAGAATTTCTGAGAAGACAGGAACTGGTGTTTAGTGTTGTAGGTGGTATTAATGTACACTCTGGCTGAGGAGTCACCTCACCTGTAATACAGTTGATATTCTTTCCAAGACATTGGGATTATATTCTCTGGAATATGAAACAGAGGGGCTTCCCAAACATGACACTGTCTAATGGGTCCTGTCAGGAAAAAATCTTCCTGAGTTATACAAGTCATGATTTTGAATTGGTATGACTTGAGTAGGCTGTACCCATTAGGATCATTAGTGATGGACTATAGTTCATGCCCTAAAGCTTGTATCTTCCCTCTATCTATAACTTTGGCTTGGTAGATTTGAGGCCTAAAAACCTTAGAGGAAGGCCTTTTAATCAGAGTGTCACAGTGTATTTGTATATCTTAAATAGGTTATTATACCAAAATAGAGCCCCTTCAGCCTTTGGAACAACCAAGCAGCACCTGGGTATCTGGAGTCCCTGGTAAGGTTGTCTCTGTCCAGGAGCGTCTTCCTCAGTATTACAGTATGGCCTACAAATACCAAATATTTTAATTTTCTTTGTGTGCTATGAAGTTAGATAGGCTGGGAAGTGCTACCCTAAAGGATTTTGGTTTAGTTTTCTTTCCCCCTCTCATCACTATCTATACTAGCAAGTGAAACCTCTTTCTAAAAAGTCCTGCAATTTGGCCACCCCATCAAGTCACTGTGTTCTCTCTTTTTCTTTTTTATTGTTACTGTCTTTGGAAAAGTGGTCCAAATGTACTATTCACTTTTCTTCACAAATGACTTGTTCTGTCATTCTCTGTGTAAGCCTTCAGGAACTTAGGAAGTTTGTCTTTGAAAGTCATGAGTGATCTGTATTTCAAATCCAGTATCTTTCTCATTCCTCATCTTATATTTATTGAAGCATTTGAGCTATTAACCTCCCCCCTTCTTTCTTAAAACATCACATTCCACTTATCCTACTTCCTCATGAATTACTTCTGGTTCCTTCACCATCTTTGTTTCTTCCTCTCATTTCTTTACCTCAGTTCAGCTTTCTTTTCTTTTGATAGTTCTTCCTAAATCTCAAGGCTTTTGTATGTGCTGTTCCTTGTATGTAGAATCTTCCTCCATCATCCTCCACCCCCAGCATACACCTGGTTTTCTTTCACATCCTTCAGATCTTGGTTCAAGCTCCTGATTTAAAATTGCAAACCACCCAGATACACCTGCAGTATTTATAATAGAATTCCGAACAAACTACACATACACATCCCATTCTCTAACCCCCTTACTAGATTTATTTTTCTCCATATCACTTATTATTTTATAAATGACCTATGTTTTATCTATTTGTTTTTTGTCTGCTGCTTCTCACTTAAACCTCATGAGAACAGAGATTTTTGCCTGTGTTACACACTGATGTATCCTCTGCACCTGTAACATGCTTGGCACATAGTTGAACAAACTAACAGATGGTTCTTTATTAATTATCTTTGTGTTGATGGCACCCAAAACTGTGTTTCCCAATCTGTACTGTTGCTTCTGTGCTGCATAGCCCCCTTTCCATTTGCTTGCCAGGCATCTTTCTCGATATGACTTCAGTATCTCAAACTGCGTATTTTTAAAACCATCATTCTCCTCTTCAGCCTGTTGTTGCTATTCAGAACTAACATAGATTTATTGATTTTTTAAAATATTTTTTGGCCGAGGGAATCCAGCAATCCAGAATTTTGAGTTTAATTTTAATCTCCTTTTCTATTTTTATTTTTAATTTGCCAGTTACACCAGTTGTCGTCCATAAATTATCAATTTATAATCCCTGATCTACAGACTAAGAGGAAAATAATGTATTTATTAACCAGCTGCTGTGTGCCCACTGCCATCTGATACTTTACATACAGTCTCATTGAATCCTCATATCAACCCTCTGAGAATAGACATTTTTGTTTTAGAACTCAGAGAAGTAAAACCACTATGAGTATTAAAGAATAAAGACTGTAATAGAAATATTTTATACACAATTGTGGAAGAAGCTAAAAGGGGTAATTGGAGGGTCAGGGAAAATCATTGACAAGCCTCCTGAAGCAGTGGCACGGGTGGACAGGTCAGGCCATATAGGGAAATCTAGAATGCCAGACACAGTCACCTGCCAGATTGTGGATAAGTCTGTGAAGGGCTGGTGCTCCTTCACAGTATGTGGGCCTGACGTAACCAGGGCAAGAGTAAGAAGAATTTGGATGCCAAGTTTATGGGAGAATAAGGGCAAGCTGGACTTAGCACCACTGCCTTTGTTGCTTATCTCCTCTAACCATAACCAGGGTAATGAGTGCTACTTAACTTCCACCTTACAAGTCTCACACAGATTTCTCTAACTTTTGACCACACAGGGAAGTGGATCCTGGGAAACAGAATTCTAGCTTAGCCAAGTTGACACAGTACAAAACCACAATAATTACTGTTATTTCACTCAGAGAAGTCACTTGCTTAGTAGGCTCACATATCAGGTAAGTGTCATAACCCACTTTAAAACCCTGTGCTTGCTCAGTAATCTCGTCCTGCCTGCATTTAAGTCCCTTAGTTTATTTGTCTGTAATCTGATTTCAGTCTAACTTTGTAGACCCACATCTGAGTGACCCCTTCCATGCACTCTAGGTTGTAAGAAAACATACTCTCCAAACATTTATACGTAGTTTTTCACCTCTGGACGTTGCTAATATTCCTTTTCCTTTGCTTGAAATGCTTCCTTTCCACCTGTTTCTGCTTGTTTCTCTTTTCATAACTGTCAAGAGTTTAATCTATCTTTCTATACCTGGTTCCAGGGCTTCCAGTGTCACCTTCTCTGTAAAACATTTCATCATCTTTTGTCCCCCTTAGTTCTGAGCAATATTTCCCTTTTCTGTATTCCCATAATACTTAATTCATGCCATTTTTATGGTACTTACCTCTGTTTATCTTTGCTGGATTGTAAGCTGGTCATTCATGTCTTATTCCATATGCCCTTGTACACTGTACTATTTGATGAATTAGTTATCCTGTATTCCACTTTGCATCTCTTGCTTGGAAAGTTGAATTTGGAAGGTGTATTTCTGTTACAGTTTGTTATTAATTTAGTTTCTTCATGTGCCTTTCTCATTCCCCAATTTAAATATTATTTTATGTGTATATATATATTTTAATTCAACTACTGTTCTCCAACTGTTGCTTAGCTTGGAGCCCATTTTTCATGAAAACTAAACGATATATTTTATCCTTTTAGGCCATGATCATCAAATGTAGTGATTCTCTTTATCCCCATGATTCCCTTAAGATAGTACATGTTGAGTATCCCTTATCCAAAATACTTGTGTCCAGTAGTGTTTTGGATTGTGGAATATTTGCATTATGCTTACCAATTAAGCTTCCCTAATCTAGAAATCAGAAATTTGAAATGTTCCAGTGAACATTTCCTTTGAGTGTCATGCAGGCGCTCAAAAAGTTTCAGATTTGGGAGCATTTCAGATTTCAGAATGTTGGATTAGGGATGCTCGTCTTGTACAGTTTTAGGGTAAAATGTTCCTTTTGTTTTGGAAGAATTGAATTTTCCTGCTTTATTAGAGATAAAACTATTCTCGCTGCCCCCCCTACCCCCGCCAACTGAGGATTCATAATGCAGAAGTTCAGATAAATTAATTTGGTTCCATGATTCTTTTAAAATATCTCTACTTCTTAATTATATAAAGATAAATGTTAAATCTAAATATTCAACGCCCTTGAATTTATATCACTTGGCCAGGTACGGTGGCTCTGCCTGTAATCCCAGCACTTGGGAGGCCGATGTGTGTGGATCACTTGAGATCAGGAGTTCAGGACCAGCCTGGCCAGCATGGTGAAACCCCATCTCTGCTAAAAATACAAAAAAAATTAGCCAAACGTGGTGGCACACATGTGTAATCCTAGCTACTCGGGAGGCAGAGGCACAAGAATCGCTTGAACCCAGGAGGCGGAGGTTGCAGTGAGCTGAGATCACGCCACTGCACTCCAGCCTGTCTCAAAAAAAAAAAAAAAAAAATTACTTCATCTTTTTAATATGGTGTTTAATTGTAAAATGATGTGCTTATTTATATGCCTATTTATTTAGTTTTCTACTTTAGCTATATGATTGTTGACTACCTTAAGTTTCAGAGGACATGGATTCTTTTCTGATAACTTAGTATATACAAGTACTAAGAGAATGTCTAAAACTGAACTGGAAAACCTGTGGGAGCAAAATAAGTTACAACTGTTACACTGTTAAAATATAAGTAGATCATGACATAACAGAGCTGAAGTCAGGAACACCTCCTTTACCCTGCACTTGGTAGAATTGGAGTAGGTTAAGAGAGAGTCTCTATGGTCCCTTCCATCTGTGATGTTTTATGACTGAGGTATTCTGCATATGCTAATTCTCCTTGTAACTGAAGCACATCACGTAGGTGGCAAACTTTTAACCATTTCAGATGAAAATCTTTCTTATTCTTTTATTTGTATTTGCTTCAATATTCTTACTATTATCCTTAAAGTTTTGTTCATACTGTGTCTTCAACTAAGGCCTAATGAACACAGTTTCACCTTTTCTTGATGAACTCAAATCATGATAAAAAAGAACAATTCTAGTATTGTACTTTTAATATAATGATATAATATGCTTGAAGTATTTTGAAGTGTGTACAGATCATTGATCTAATGACATTTAGCCCCAAAAAGATACTCCATTTTAGTTCTTGTGCCTGTTTTTAAATAGTATTTTGTAGTCTACTTCTTATCAAGATGTCACTTCTCTTTTCTTCTTGATTTTATGTCTGCCTTTAACACTCTTCTAACATACTACTATTTTTTTTTTTTTTTGAGACATGGCCTCACTCTGTCGCCCAGGCTGGGGTGCAGTCAAGCGATCCTCCTACTGCCACCTTCCAAGTTGCTAGGACCACAGGTGAACACCACCACGCCTGGCCAGTTTTTTAAATATTTTTTTGTAGCGACGGGGTCTCCTTATATTGCCCAGGCTGGTCTCGAACTCCTGAGCTCAAGCAGTTCTCTCACTTTGGCCTCCCAAAGTGGTGGGATTACAGGCATGAGCCACCATGCCCAGCCTAACATACTACTTTTTATATGGGGTTTTATAACTAGTTTTTTAGAGATTTGTATAAAACAAGAGACTTTAGGAGCAACAGGCTTACCTGTTGGTAAATGAATGTTAGTTTAATCTTAGACTTTGTAAATGTTTCTGGCAACCCAGAGTCCAAACTTCTGTAGTTACTATTTTCAAAATCCATTAGTTTGGACAAAGTAAAGAGTGTTTTTTCTTTGAGTTGTGCCAGCTTGCATTAAGTAGTCTTAATGGGTAGTTTGGAGAGTAATTCTTAATTGCCTCTTTTTACTTTTCGGGAGTTTTAAAGGTTACTTACTGTCTATTAGAGACTTTATATTTAATGATGTAATAACACTTGAAGTCATGACTTGGTTATGAAAGAAAAATTGAAACTAATGAGTCATTTGGAAAGGAAATAAGATTAATAGTTGCTTAATAGAAATTATTTTAAAAGGTTGCCATAAATTTTTTTTAGCTTTTCTTTTGATTCACTCAAGACTAACATAGATGTCCCAGCTAATTCTGAAGATTAAATAGTTCCTAGCTGACAGTAACACTTCTAATATGATAGCTACCTTGAGTTTTCTAGAGGGAATGCTCACCTTTCCTTTGCCAGAGAATACATTCAAGATTTGTAACACCAAAAGGATAGTTAAGGCATGAGATATATTAGGAACAAGACATTTAAATTGCTAAAATTATTAAAAATCACTAAGTGAAGTCAAGTATAAGTGTATTCAAATTGTTTGGAGTTGACAACAAATAGTGCCAGTAAAAAGTGTTGTTTCTTTTCTTACATGGAAAAATACTGACTTTTCATTTCCTGAGGAAAGTACCTTTGTGAGTGTATTAATTAGTTTTCTATCGCTGCTGTAACATTTTGGCACAAATATAGGGGCATAAAGCAACCCAAATTTATTCTCTCCACTTCTGGCCAGAGCTATACATCTGTGACAGCCTGAGCCGAGAATTACAGGGCTCAAATCAAGATGTCAGCAGGGCTGGCTTCTTTCGCCAGCAGTGGCTCCAGGGAAGAATCTGTCCTTTGATTCTTCCCAGCTTCTAGTGGCTGCTGGCATTCCTTGCCTTTGGCTACAACACTCAAATCGCTGGCACCATAGTTGCATTGCCACCTGGCAGTGGTACCCACTGCCACCTCTCTGTTAGTCTGATCTCCTTCTCTCCTCTTGTAATGACTCTTGTGAGTACAATTAGGGCCCACCCAGATAATACTGAATAATCTCCCCATTTCAAGATCATTTAACTTAATCACATTTGCAAAGCCTCTTTCTCCATATAAAGTAACATTCACAGGTTCCAGGGATTAGGACTTAAATATTGGGGAGGCATTATTCAGCCTACGCAGTGGGTATGGATACGTTTTGAAGTAATGCTATGCATCTGCTTTCATATTTGGTTTCTCTCTTTCCTACCACCCCCATCCCCCACCATTCTTTTCTTCCTTAAAATTCTTTTTTTTTTTTTCTTTTTTATATAAGTTCTGGGGTTCAATGCACAACGTGCAGGTTTGTTACATATGTATACATGTGCCATGTTGGTGTGCTGCACCCATTACCTCGTCATTTACATTAGGTATTTCTCCTAATGCTATCCCTCCCCCAGCCCCCCACCCCACGACAGGACCCGGTGTGTAATGTTCCCCTCCCTGTGTCCAAGTGTTCTCATTGTTCAGTTTCCACCTATGAGTGAGAACATGCGGTGTTTGGTTTTCTGTCCTTGCAATAGTTTGCTGAGAATGATGGTTTCCAGCTTCATCCATGTCCCTGCAAAGGACGTGAACTCATCCTTTCTTACGGCTGCATAGTATTCCATGGTGTATATGTGTCACATTTTCTTAATCCAGTCTATCATTGATGGACATTTGGGTTGGTTCCAAGTCTTTGCCATTGTGAATAGTGCTGCAATAAACATACATGTGCATGTGTCTTTATAGCAGCATGATTTATAATCCTTTGGGTATATGCCCAGTAATGGGATGGCTGGGTCAAATGGTATTTCTAATTCTAGATCCTTGAGAAATCACCACACTGTCTTCCACAATGGTTGAACTAGTAAATAGGAACACTTTTACACTGTTGGTGGGACTGTAAACTACTTCCTTAAAATTCTTAAGCTGACTAGTTGTAATATCTGTATATCAGCTTCTAACTTGTTTATGTTATGTGTGAAAACTTGTCTATAGCTTAGGGGTGATGGAACCTCAATTCATCAGCAATATACTGTCTTTAAGGGACTTAAAAATCAGTTTCAGGTGATTGGGTTCTGGACAGGGAGTTAGTAGTCCCAGATTTTAGTTCCAAATCTACCATTAACTGTGTAATTTTAAACAAGTCCCTTAGTCTTGTTCCAAGTCTTACTACTTTTTTTCATAAGTAAAATGTTTCTTATAGCTTTATGTTATTCTCTGTTTTATCAAATATTGAAGACTGGTGTATAGTGGTTATTTTAAAATCTCGTCTTTTAAATTTAAATTTTATTTCACTATTTTCTAGAATTACATAACCACTTTTTCCCCTCGAACATTCTGTACTATTTTCATAAGCATCTAATTTGAAATTTAAAACATTCTGTGGTTTTGATTAACAGGAGGATCTACTTTTTGTGGCATTGCCTCACTGTGTCTGATGGGTAAACTAGAAGAAGTTTTTTCAGAAAAAGAGTTGAACAGAATAAAGAGGTGGTGTATAATGAGGCAACAAAATGGTTATCATGGAAGACCCAATAAGCCTGTAGACACCTGTTATTCTTTTTGGGTGGGAGCAACTCTAAAGGTAAGAGAAATAATAAAAAATGAGAAACCTATATTCTGTGTTCATATAAATTGTGCTAAAAAGTTTTGGTCTTTGTAATGTGTATTAAATATTGTTAGGTTTGGGGTACTGGATTTTCTCTTTTGCTCTGCCAGAGCTAGTTTTTCTATGGTTTTTCCATAGAATTCAGTGATCTCTTGTGCTGCTTGAAAATTTTCATTCTTAGAAAACTCAAGTAACTCAGAACTTGAGTTTTATGCCTACTTATACCTTACATAGAACATATTAAATACTTACTTTCTTGTAGATGTAAGGTAATAAAAAACTTGTAACTGGAACTGACTAGTTCATGTAAATCAGAAATCTGTCTGAAAATGATACCAGTAAAGGTTTTATGGGAAGGTGTTAATCTTAAAAGACAAACCGTGGGTCATTTCTTCAAAAACCATGTAAGGACTTTTTTTTTTTTATTTATTTGTTTAAACCTTCTGAAACTCATCAATTGACACGCCAGCACATTTTTTCCCATCTCTATTACCTTTTAATATACCTAATTCTGTAAGGTTACTTAGTCACTAAATACACACAAGTTTTCTCTATTTTAAAGTTGCCTTTTTATCTTTAAGAATTGTCACCTTGTTCTGATATTCTGCAATCTAACAGGAGTCTGTTAGAGGAGTCCATGTTTGTCTTCTCTGTAATATCCTAAATTTTTCTCTTAAAATTTATGTATAAGGTTGAAAAACATTGGGAAAAGAATGATTTAAAATGATGACAGTAGTCTCCCTGTCTCTCCTCACTTGTAGTACTATTTCTCAGGTTCATCATTTCAATTTTTTTTTGACTGTGGGAAATTTCAAGCATATTCAAAAGCAGGGAGAATGGCGTAATGAACACCCATGTGTCCATCAACCATCTCAACAATTATCAACCCAAAGCTACCCTTTCTTTATCTACACTCTAACTAATTCCCTTCCATTCACTGAATTATTTTAAAGCAGATCCCAGATAGCATTTTTTATATTCTTTGGAAATTTTTTAATGTAATATCTAAATGAAAATAACTTTTAAAAAAAAAACAGAACCCTAGTGTCATCACATCTGAACAATTAGCCATAATTGTTTATTATCATTAAATATCCAGTGATTTCCTATTATATCACATATATTTCCTATTGTATCACACCAAGAGGCATGTAATATCCAATTATCTCTCCTTTTAATTAAAGAGCTCCAGAGTTGAAAATATACATAGCACATTATACTTATCACTTTAAACATTTGTAAGTTTGCAATTCACTAGTATTAATTCAATTTACAATGTTGTGTAATCGTCACTACCATGCAAAACTTTCTCATTTTACCCAGCATAAATCCTGTACACATTAAACAATAATTCCCTATTCTTCTTTCCCCTCAGCCTGGTAACCTCTACTCTACTCTCTGTCACTATGAATTTGTGTATTCTAGGTACCTCATATAGGTGAAATCATACAATATTTGTCCTTCTGTTTCTGGCTTATTTCACTTAACATAATGGTTTCAGGATTTATTTATGACATGGCATATGTCAAAATTTCATTTTTTTAATGGCTGAATAATAATATTCCATTGTATATAAATATCACGTTTTCCTTCTTCATTTATCTGTTGATGATCACTTGAGTTGTTTTCACCTTTTGGCCATTGCAGATAATACTGCTAAAAACATGGGTGTATAAATATATTTTCAAATCCCTGCTTTCATTTTTGAGGGGTATTACATGTATATAGAAGTGGAATTGCTGGGTCATATGATAGTTCTTCATTTAACTTTTTCAGGAAATGCCAAACTTTTCCACAGCATCTACAACATTTTATGTTCCCTCTAGCAATGTATGAGAGTCCCAATTTCTCTACATCCTCACCAACATTTGTTTTTTCTGTTTGTTTTATATATAAAATAGCCATTTTTTATATGAAGTGTTATTTCATTGTGGTTTTGATTTGCGGTTTTCTAATGATAATGAGTGTCTTTTTATGTACTTATTGGTCATTTGTATATCTTCTTGGGAGAAATTTCTATTCAAGCCCTTTGCCTATTTTTAAATCTGGTTTCTTTTTTTGTTATAAGGTTGTGGGTGTTCTTCCTATATTCTGGATATTAATCCCTTCTCAGATATATGATTTATAAATGTTTTCTCATTCCTTGAGTTGCCTTTTTACTCTGTTGATGGTGTCCTTTAATGTACAGAAGTTTTTTGATGCAGTCCAATTTTATCTAAATTTTTCTTTTATTGCTTGTGTTGTTGGTGTCATGTCCGTAAAACTATTGCTAAATCCACTGTCATAAAGATTTTCCCCAGTGTTTTCTTCTAATAGTTTTACGGTTTTAGGCCTTAATGTTGTGCCTTTCATCAATTTTGAGTTAATTATTGTATGTGATGTAAGGTAAGATCCAACTTCATTCTTTGACACGTGGATATCTAATTTTCCTAGCACCATTTGTTGAAAAGACTGCCCTTTTCCATTAAATGGTTTTGGCACCCTTGTCAAAAGTCAGTTGACTATATATGTGAGGTTTGTTTCTGGACTTCCTATTTTATTCCGTTGTTCTGTATGGCTGTCTTTGTGCCAGTACTATACTGTTTTTATTACTGTGGCTTTGTAGTAAGTTTCAAAGTCAAGAAGTTTGAAACTTCCAACTTTTCTTTTTCAAGATTGTTTTGACTATTTGGAGCCCCTTTCAATTTGATATGAATCTGGTAATTGAGTTTACCATTCCTGCAAAAAAAGTCTTTTGAAATTTTGATGGGAATTGCATTGAATCTGTAGATCACTTTCGGTAGTAGTGATATCTTGACACTGTTGAGTGTTCCTATCCATGAGCACAGGATGCTTTTCCATTTATACAGGAGGTCTTCAGTTTCTTTCAGCAATGTTTTGTAGTTTTCAACATACAAATCTTTCACTTTTTTATTAAGATTTAATTCTCAGTATTGAATCATTTTAGATGCTGTTGTAAATGAAATTGCTTTCTTAATTTCCTTTTGGATTGTTCATTGCTAGTCTATAGAAACTATCAACTTTTTATAGAATAGTTTTAACAAGCATTAAGGATCATTGCTTAAATCAGTTGTGGCATTAAGAGGTTATAAAACAGTGGTATTCTTTCATTCCATCTCAATTTATTAACTAGCATTGTTTTTTAAAGAAGAATTATTTTACCTTCCCCTGAGATATACTTTGTACAGAGAAGGACAGATAAATACCGAATTCTTTCCCTTAATAGTGTTCAACAAAATGAGTTGGTTCCCTACCATCCCCTCAGCCTTTCCAATGAAATATTAGATTTTAGAGTTTGGGGTTTTTTGGTTTGTTTCTGTGTTTTTTTTTGTTTGTTTGTTTGTTTTTTTTGGAGAATCATTGTGAATACATAGATTTTAACATTTTTTAGTCATATGTAATACATATAATATATATTAGTCATATATGACTAAAATATATATATATATAATGCTTAAATTGTCCCATCTTTAGTCGATAGGAACCCTTTCAAGTTGTCCCAAGTCTTTTTTATTTGACGTCAGTAGTCTTTGACAGCTTTCTGAAAGCAACCACTTTTAAACTTTTTAAAAATGTTTTAATTCTTGTGGACATTTCCGTAACTTTAAATCACAGACTAACTTCTTATCACCTTTAGATATTATTGATGATTCCCAACTAAGAGAAATTAAGATTTAGCCTCTCACTTTTCCAACAAATTGTTACTCATTATGTTTAGTTCTGAATCTTTTCCTCATCTTCTACCTTCCAATGCTATATAAGTTACCTTTATTTTTATAATGTCAAGTTAGGAAGCATTCATATTTTTGTTCAGCATTAATAATCACATCTTTCAGGCTTTGCCTATAGGTTGATTCTAAAGTTTGAAAACCAGTAACCAACACTTATTATGATAGTGCAAATATTGTTTATTGCTAAGCCAAGTGTAGTGTTAATATTATCCTTTTTTCATTTTTATTTAATGACCAATGTGCCACTGATGGAAAATGTTCCTAACATCAAGATTCAAAAAAGCCTTTTTCCTTATAGTCTATTAATTAAATCAATGTAAATGAATAAATTTGTTTCTTGTTTGTACTATAACTTTCTTATGAGTTTAGCTTTTCTTTTTGAGAAATAATGCTTCTTCATCAGTCACTAAAAGCTGTGGCTCTCTGGTTCATTGACATATATTAAATTGTTTTGTATCTTCAGAAATTTCTTGATCCCTCTTACCTACTGCACACCTCATCTTGAACTTCACAGTGTTATTTACTTATTTGTATCTTACTTTTATGGAATCTTGAGAGAAAAACCAAGTACATGTCCTAAATCATTAAAAACTATATAGTTTTTTATGTTGCAATCATTTTTGTCTTACCTTTTTCTTTCCTAATTAAAGAGCTATACTTCCTTACTATTTTCAAAACTGTCTCTAGCATCTGGTTAGAAATTTTTGTTTGCTCTTTTTTTAAAAAATATTTTTAGTTCCAATTACTACTAATTTATAACTAATAGCTAAAGAGCTTATCATAAGAGTTAAAATATGGGTAGATAAAATTTACTTTTTAAAATGACTGATTATGTTGAGTGGATTGGAGTTGTCTTTTGAATTTAGCTTAATGTGCTTCAAAGGGTACAGTTGGCCTGATTCAGAAGAAGGAAATAGAGGGTCAAGAAAAGGAGAGTAGATTTGATAAGAAAATAAAAAAGATAATGTGATTGACTCATTTCAAGTGCTCAAGGCCCCGTAGAGTTGGTCTGAGCACCTTAGCTAAAGAAAAGCATATCTAAATGACAAACATCTGAAATTTGAGCCAAAGGTTGATATGAGTTTTGTCATGTCATTTCAGCTTCTAAAAATTTTCCAATACACTAACTTTGAGAAAAATAGAAATTACATCTTATCAACTCAAGATCGCCTTGTAGGGGGATTTGCCAAGTGGCCAGACAGTCATCCAGGTAATTATTTTCTTTGTGAATCCAGAACAACCTTTATTTCCTGAATAGATCTTCAAGCATCTTTATCAGAAAAGGCGTATGATAGAAAATATATCCACAGTTGCAAAGTTACATTAAATATTATTTTTAAAAAGGTATATTGTGTAAGCTTAGCATAGATTTAGGGTATTGGGGAGTATAAAGGAAAGAGTTTATTATCAAGATGCATGGGTATAGTGTGCATTTTTTCCCAAATATTTTACTTAGTAATGTTTTATTTCATTTTCAGCAATAACATAGATGGTCTGAATGGGTCCTTTCCAAAGAAGAGAATTATTTAGCCTATCCAAAACCATTAGGATTATTAGTCATGACTTGAGCTAAGTATAGTAAATTACTCCCGATCCTGAAGGAAATCAATTCTTACTCTTTTCAGAAGTCATTAAATAGACCGGGTGCAGTGGCTCATGCCTGTAACTCCAACACTTTGGGAGGTTGAGGCAGGTAGATCACTTGAGGTCAGGAGTTCAAGACCAGCCTGTTCAACACGTTGAAACCTGACTCTACTACAAATACAAAAATTACCAGGTGTGATGATGCATGCCTGTAGTCCCAGCTATGTGGGAGTCTGAGGCAGGAGAGTCACTTAAACCCAGGAAGCAGAGGTTCCAGTGAACCGAGATTGCACTACTGCCCGCCAGCCTATGTGACAGAGTAAGAGTCTGTCTCAAAAAAAAAAAAATCATTAAATAAAATATTTCAAATCCTGAATATGTGTTTCTCACTTCCCATACTCTTGTTCTCCAAATTTCAACAGATTCAGACAATATAAATGGTATGGCACTCAAGGCCCTCCCAAAATTTGGCTCCTCTCCCACCTCTACCATCATTTTGTAGCCTACACCTCACCCGACTTACGTTTTCACCTCCAGCAAAATGACCGAATATACAGCTTCCCTATAAAAATCCATTTAAGAGTGTGTTAAAATAATTTCAAACACTGACACTTGATAAGCAAGTAAAGAATTAGTTACAAATATGAAACTAGACACAAGGAATGATTATTTTTGCCAGTATTGCAATAGAGTCGTGGTTTTTATTATCAACCTAGAAAGTGCCATATCAACGTTCATCTTCCATCACAGAACTGCTATAGTTGGAATGTGTACTTGAATCAGAATATAAATAAGGAGCTCATGAAATCATATTTTTGTATTTGAAATGAGCAGGAATATTTCCTTACACCCCTACTTGCCTGTATTTTCATATAAAACATGCTTCCTAGGCCAGGTGCATTGGCTTCCTGCTGTAATCCCAACACTTTGGGAGGCTAAGGTGGGCGGATCACTTGAGGTCAGGAGTTTGAGACTAGCCTGGCCATTTGGTGATGAAACACTGCCTCTACTAAAAATACAATAATTAGCCAGGCCTGGTGGTGAGTGCCTGTAATCCCAGCTACTTGGGAGGCTGGGGCAAAAGAATTGCCTGAACCTGGGAGGCAGAGGTTGCAGTGAGCCAAGATCATGCCCTGCACTCTAGCCTGGGCAACAGAGCAAGAGTACATCTCAAGAAATAAAATGAAGTAAAATAAAATAAAAGACCAGGTGTGGTGGCTCAGGCCTGTAATCCTAGCACTTTGGGAGGCTGATGCAGGTGAATCACTTGAGGTCAGGAATTTGAGACCAGCCTGGCCAACATGGTGAGACCCCGTCTCTACTAAAAATACAAAAAATTAGCCGGGCATTGTGGTGCGCACCTGTAGTCTCACCTACTCAGGAGACTGAGGCAGGAGAATTGCTTGAACCCAGGAGGCAGAGGTTGCAGTGAGCCAAGGTCGTGCCATAGCACTCCAGCTTGGGCGACAGAGCGAGACTATCTCAATCAATCAATCCATAGTAAAACATGCCTTCTTTTTTTTTTTTTTTTTGAGACGGAGTCTGGCTCTGTTGCCCAGGCTGGAGTGCAGTGGCCGGATCTCAGCTCCCTGCAAGCCCCGCCTCCCGAGTTCACGCCATTCTCCTGCCTCAGCCTCCCGAGTAGCTGGGAGTACAGGCGCCCGCCACCTCGCCCGGCTAATTTTTTTTGTATTTTAGTAGAGACGGGGTTTCACCGTGTTAGCCAGGATGGTCTCGATCTCCTGACCTCGTGATCCGCCCGTCTCGGCCTCCCAAAGTGCTGGGATTACAGGCTTGAGCCACCGTGCCCGGCCAAAACATGCCTTCTTAGAGAAAGTGTACATTGCTTTCAAAGTTGTAAGCCAAAGTATGTTTTCAGAAGTTAATTTCTCAAGAAAAATAATATTTTGAAATTTTTTGTATCTCTAGTGCCTGAAGAAAACTGAGAATTATTTTGGACTTTATTCCATTTTTTCAATCAGTGCGGGTACTGTTTTAACAAATAATGGAAATAGGGAAATGACAATCTCTTAGAAAACATTTCTTATGTAAACATGCTTGAAATATATTCAGTGTTTGCAATAGCTTTTTAAAAAGAAAGTTCTTGAGGCTTTTTCCGGAGAGATCAGTTGCTAACTTTAACATTTGTGTAAATATTTGGATGTACTACTTACTTTTTACAGATACATTACAATGTTTTCAGAGTATGCACTAGAAAGCATCGAAAGTCTTTGCTAAATTGAATTTATATGTAAAGATCTGGTCCCAGAACCTTTACAATCATTTTAACGAGATTCTTTAAGCTTATTCTTGGTTCTAGTAAATTTAGTAGCAAATTTGACACAAAGGGATTTTATATACATTTATGAAAGAAATTTCTAAAGAATGAGCTTTTGTTATGGAATATATATATATTTCAGCATCTAAAGTGCTTTATTATGGAGTAAACGTATTTCCACATGTAAAGTGCTTATACATTGCCACCTACAGATAAAGAGTTTTTTAAAAAAGCAATTTGAGGCTTGAAACAATTGAGTTCTGATCTCATTGGCTGTTACAAAAATCTTTTTGAGAGAAAAATAAGTTTTATTTGTTACTTTACCCAGAGAGATTTTAGTATTACACAGTTCTATTTTATGTTATTATGGATGTATATTTTCTGTTGTAATTTTTCCTAGAAAAGGTTCCTGGTTTCTAGAAAACAGCTTAATGTTGCTTTGTACCCTTTGTAGTTTTAGAATAATTATATGGAATGATGTAATATTACAGGCGAAATCAAATTTATTTTTTATAGTCTGAAAGTCAAAGGAAAGTGAGCCAGAAGAAACCTAAGTATTTTCTGAAAAGGCCTAAAAGGTGATCAACATGGGCCTCTATTAGTGAAATAACGTTTTCACAATGGCATTGAGTAAGCACAACTATTTGTCGTTTCTGTTTTGAAAAAATAAGTGATACTCTTGTAAGTAAAGCTTTTCCTTTAACCCTTTTGACAAAATTTGATGTGGTAAGATGTTTTGAACTTTTTGTTGTTTTGAGACAGGGTCTCATTCTTTTGCCCAGGCTGGAGTGCAGTGATATAATCATACCTCACTGCAGCCTCAACCTCCCTAGGCTTAGGTGAGCCTCCCACCTCAGCCTCCGGAGTAGCGGGAACTACAGGCACACACCACCATACCTGGATAATTTTTGTATTTTTTGTAGAGATGGTGCTTCACCATATTGCCCAGGCTGGTATCAAACTCGTGTGGCTCAAGCAATATACCCTCCTCAGCCTCCAAAGTACTGGGATTACAGGTGTGAGCCACCACACCCAGCCTGTTTTGAACTTTAATAGCTCTTGAGGCCATAAATGTTGGCCAATTCAAAAATAGAAAAAAATTTTTGACTGGTACAAAACTGTCTTTGTAGTGTTCCTATAACTGCAAAGCTCTGAGCTCTTCAGAAGTCTACATAAGACTCCTAGGCAAGAATGACCATGTGATTTCATTGGCCACTTTAATAGAAGAGGATTACTGCCCCCTGAAAGATGGGAAACTAGTGAGCCAGTGCAGAATTATCATGATATGAGCACTCATGTTATTTCAACCAAATAGAATGTGAGTTTGTTTTTATTGTCAGATCAGATATTTTTACGATGACTGACATTACCCTAAATAGGAGGATTAAATATGGCACAGCATTCCAGAATGGATTATTTTTGCGTAAGCTCCTTTTATTTAACACAGTGTTAGGATAGTCCTGCCTATGGTTTAGGAACTTTCAGAGGCAAAACATGGAGCAAGGGGTATTGCAACTTAGATTCAGAGTTTTGTTTTCATTTTAAAGAAAAAAAATTTAATGATACAGCATTGAAGCTACTCATTTCCATGTTCTGTAGTAAGCAAAAAGGGAAACTCCCTCAAGTGAGAAGTCTTACATATGACTGCTGCTCCTCCTGTCTTTTCATCACAGAGGTTCTAGATAGTATCAGCTCTTCAGTTGGAAACTCTTTTCCTTTGTTAATGATATTTTCATGAATAAAATATTTTATTTTGATCATCTGGGTTTTTTTTAAATTGATGTTTGAGACTTTGAGAAAGCAAATATTTTAAAAACTATAGCATTTCTCTAAACTTTTAATGGAGTGATGGGCTGGTAAATATGTAGCTGAAATATTTTGTAGAATGTACAAGTAGGAATACCTGTTATGATGTTTTAAATGCCTTCTTTTCAGATGCTTTGCATGCATACTTTGGGATCTGTGGCCTGTCACTAATGGAGGAAAGTGGAATTTGTAAAGTTCATCCTGCTCTGAATGTAAGCACACGAACTTCTGAACGCCTTCTAGATCTCCATCAAAGCTGGAAAACCAAGGACTCTAAACAATGCTCAGAGAATGTACATATCTCCACATGACTGACTTTAGAATGGGAGGGTGGGGGGATTTGTAGCATAACTGTAGCTCAAGTTTAAAAGCCATGTATAACCAAGTGTGCTCTTTTTTTAAAAGGTAGAGTCTTACAATCAAATCTTCTGCTGATGTCACTTTGGGATATGGTCTTGAGCCAGTAATCTTTGTACTGGGTTTCGAGAAAATCTTTGTTGAAGTTTGAACCACAACTTTGTCGTGGTTCTTAAATGTTTATACTGTATTTCTAAGAAGTTGTTTGAGGCAAATTAACTGTATGTGTGTAGGTTATCTTTTTAAAAACTCTTCAGTGCAAATTGTATCTTATAAAATTGACACGAATTTTCAAAACAAGTTTGCACTTCATATAGCATTGATAATCTTCAGGTGAACACTTAGTGATCATTTAAAAAGCTCACTGCTGATGGTGGAAAATTTGCTTTAATGAATTAAGTATCTGGGATTATTCTTTGAAAACAGATTACCATAATTTTTTTTAAAGAAGAGTGACTTATTTTGTCTTATTCTTAAGTAAAGTGTGCCAATTAAACCTTTGTGGCCTATATAAATGAAATGAATAACTTCACAGTGAGAATAAATAGGTTTAACTAATATGATAGTTTTCTAAAAGGAGATTGTTTGAAGACAACTATTATGTAACTGAGGGAAAAGCAACTTAACTATATGTGATTGTGAATGAGAAAGCTTTGTGCTATGTGGGTCATTTATTTAGACATTGCTGTGGTGAATACCAGTTATGTTTGATTTTATTCTCAAATCATTAGTTGCCTTTTTTTTTCTTTTTTTGCTTTCTAGGAAGAAAACAATCTTTTTTATCTAGAAGGAAAGATACTTTGTGTTTTTATTTTTAGCCTTTTGAATTTTTTAGTTCGTTGCCCCCGGTGTGTTAGCTGCTCTAATTTCAAACTAATGCTTTTCTAATTTTTTTCAAACTAAATAAGTGAAAAATACAAAAACAGAACCATTCAAATAGATTCAGTGGTACAACTCTCTATACATGGTCATTTTTATTCTCATATTTTCAGGTAAATGAAAGGCAAATGTAACCATTTAGAGGGTAAGAAATAGGGTTTTGTTTTTGTTCATTGTTTTGTTTTCTTAAGTTTATGAACTAGCTAATTATAAAGGAGATAATATAAAAACTCTTCATTAGTAATTAATTAATCAGTAACTCATATCCATTACTTGCTTAGTGACATTCAGAACTATGAGTCTAGTACTGAAATGGGGAAAGAAATCTCTTCACTAAAGGAGTTGGGTTAAGTTAGTCTTGGTGATAATAAATGTTGAAATACAAACATCAGTATAAAAACTGTATTACTGGTATCACTGTTTAGGCATCGTAATATTTTAAATGTTATCTTTTTTTCTAAATTAGAGAAAAAAATGTTGTAAAATAACAGTCCTTCCCAAGGGAAACAGTATGTACTTGGAGAAATGATTCATTTATTATTGGCATGCTTAGTTTTAAACCTGAGTTTGCCAACTGTGTGTTTTTAAATTAGAAATAAAAAAATCTTCTGATGGTGGGGGGAAAAACTAAGCTTACTAACAGATGTTATCCTTCTATGGGTTATTCCAATTGCTACTATTTAAATCCTGGCAGATTAAGACATCCATATCTCAAACTAAGTCATCTCTTAGACATTGGAAGTTGAAGTAGCATATATATAATGGCTTTAGTACTATATAAAAAGCCCAAATTGTTTTTTCTGTATCACCAAGAAAGGTTAGGAGGTAATAAAGGTAGTAACTGTATGACTGTATTCATAAATGTAAGTTACAGGAAAATTCCAATCTAAAAGTATTTCATAAGGCTAAATATTTTCTAACTCCTTATAATTTAATACCGTAAGATTATAAATTTTAGTATGCTTCTAATTGATATACCTGTGGGAGACTTTCTTGTGAAACGTTATGGACTAGTAAATGTTCACATTCCATAGCAACTTAATTGACCAGAAAATAGCAGGCCAGTGTGAATTGTGGAGAAACTATTTCTAACTTTTCTAAATAGTTATTTACAAGAAAAGTATTTATCAATTAAATAAATTATAAGCAATATTTCACATATATACTTTATTCCTTAACAGGAGTGATATAATGAGGGGAAATACGAAGTCTGAAATCTCAAAAAGCTCTATTTTCCTACTCCCTAATTGTCTCCTTCCTGCCCCCTAATTTTGTGGTATTTTTTTTTAGAAAGTAGAAGGAGGAGCTTTGTTTTGAGCATCTGCATACAAATAAGATTAGTCAGATCGTATGGCATAATTTAACCTGTTTATCATTTCAGTGTTTTTAGATTTGATCTATAATATATATGTGTTATTAGATCTTTAAATAGTTATTTGTATTTAATCTAAATTCATATAGAAATCTTGCTGATGGTGGTATATAATTTGAAAACTGTTGGACCTGATCATTTTTGAGGGACAGTTAATGAGGAGGTGCTCTGGAATCAGATGACCTGGGTTTAAATCCCAGATTTGCCAGTTCAGTGGCATGATCTTGGACCCTAACTCTCCCATTGATAAAATAAGGAAAATAGGTAAAACCTAACTCACAGGGTTTAGGATTAAATGAGATAATACAGATAAAGCACTTAGGATAGTACCTGGAATATAGCAAATTTCAAATTATAGGTTCTTTATAATGATCATAAAATTATTTTTCTAATTAAAACCTCTCCTACAACAGAAAGAGGTCTTAACAGTTTAACCTCAGGGAAAATGATGATAACAGTGTTGTTTTCTAATCTCCCCATAAAAATACAGAGCAACTAGGACACTATAGACACTATTACAACACTAGATGACAAGGTAGCTCTATGAACTTCAAAATACAACTAAGTGAGGACAAACCACTGACCCACATAGTTTCAGTATCTGTGGGAGGAAGTAGAAGGAAGGCAGCTGGTTTCTGACAGCTCTGCAAATTGGAGAACTACAACACTGCCCACAGTTTCTCACTACAAAGTGCAGTGGGCCAATCTAAGAACAGACACTGAAACTGGGAAGTGACTACAGAATCCCATTTGCAGATGAATGTTAAAGCAATATAATAAGGTCTGATGACTGCATTAGAGCAGTCTGGGTTTTTTGCTGTGTACGTCTTGAAGCTTATGAGACAAAGCCCAGCACTGAGGACAAACTTCTAGAATTAGAATTCAAATGGGCAGGATGGGTAAAATAGGACAAAAGAAATATCTAGATAAGTATTGGGAAGAAAGGCCAAGATACAGAGACATTATACATATGTATTTTCATATATATACACATATATATATTCTTTTAAATCACTGTGAAAATGGGAGCTCTAAGGCTGTGAAGTCATCCTAGAACCACTCCTCCCACTTAAAAGTACAGAAAAACTCGTTTCAGTTAAGGGGAAAAAAAGAGTGAGTGAGCCAGGATTACAGTCCAACTCCATTCAAAGTTAGTATGAGAAATAATAAATAGATCAACATCCTCACGGACAATGAAAGCACACCAGAAAGACATGACGCAAGACAGATAAAAACCTAATACTTGCCAAAAAATAAAATGCAAATATGACAGGAAATTTATAGTAATTAATGCAATTATCAGTAAAAGGAAAAGGTGAAAATTAACCAAGTACCAAACACTTGGAGTAAAAAGCAAAATAAAGCAGAAGGAAGGAGTTAATAACAATAAAAACAAGAAATAATTACTAGTAGCAAACCAAAACAATAAAGGCAATAAATCCAAGTTGGTGATGGATAGTGTGGGGAGTTGAGTGTGATAAACTACCAGCTAATCTATTTAAGAAAAAAAGGAGGAAGCACAAATACAAAAATTTAAATGACAAGGGGGAAATAGTAAAAGAGGAAATTTGTTTAAATTGACAACTTTGAGCAATTTTACACAATAAATTCGAAAACTTTAGAGAAAAATGCAAATTGCCAAAATGTAGGTCACAACAAACCAGTTGCCATAGAAGAAACAAATAGTTAAAAGTACTCCTTACCAAAGGAAGCATCAAGCCCAGATTGTTTCAAGGGGATTTCTACCAAACCTTTTAAGATTAAATAATCCCATTCTTGCTTAAACAATTCCAGAGACTAGGAAAAGAATCTTGAACCTCAAAGTGCCAAAAAAAAAAAAAAAAGAAAGAAAAAAGAAACTGCTAAATTCATTTTATAAAGTGAATGTAATAGCATTGATTCAAAAACCTGACAAAGATTGTACCAAAAAGAAAATTATAGAGCAATCTCATGAATATTAATAAAAAGTTTTGGCCGGGCGCGGTGGCTCAAGCCTGTAATCCCAGCACTTTGGGAGGCCGAGACAGGCGGATCACGAGGTCAGGAGATCGAAACCATCCTTGCTAACCCGGTGAAACCCCGTCTCTACTAAAAAATACAAAAAAAACTAGCCGGGCGAGGTGGCAGGCGCCTGTAGTCCCAGCTGCTCAGGAGGCTGAGGCAGGAGAATGGCGTGAACCCGGGAGGCGGAGCTTGCAGTGAGCTGAGATTCGGCCACTGCACTCCAGCCTGGGCGACAGAGGGAGACTCCGTCTCAAAAAAAAAAAAAAAAAAAAAAAAGTTTTAATGATACATTAGCAAACAAATCCAACAGCACTTTCAAAAGGTAATCATGACTAAGTTGGGTTTATTATAAGAATGCAAGGGTAATTCAATACTAGATAATCTATTAATATTCATCATATTAAGAGTTAAGAAATATCTTCATCTTTGCAGAAAAGACATGATAGAATTGAGCACTCACGTTACATATGCTAAGTAGAAATTGATGAATAATTAATTAACATTGTACCTCTACCTAAAAACCAGCATCTTAAATTTCAAAGCAAAAAAGACTTTCCAACTGAAGTCAGGAACAAGACATGCCCACTAACCCCTCTACTACTTAATGTGTTGAGAGTTTTAGCCAATGAAATTAGACAAAATAAAGATGTGAATTGCAAAGGAAGAGTTAAAACTATTTGTAGATATGAATATGTATCTAGAAAGCCCAAAGGAATTTGTTGAAAAACTAAACAATAAAAGAACTTAGTAAAGTAGCTGTTAAATACAATTTACCTACAAATATCAGTAGGCTTCACCAGAAGAAAAACTAAACAATAAAAGAATTTAGTAAAGTAGCTATTAAATACAATTTACATACAAATGTCAGTAGGCTTCACCAGTGCATACTTTGATTCCATTTTGAATCATTTCATTCAAAACAGCATTTATGTATGGTGTCAGAATCAGCACCCCCTTTCAGTCACTACCTCTCTTCCCAGAGGTAAGCACTATCAAAATCACCATCAATTAGTTTTGTCTGTTTTTGAATTTTATATGAGTGGAACCATATAGTATACATTAGTTTTCAACTGGCTTTAACTCAGTAGGAGTGAAAGAGGGTACAAGGGGACTCTGTGGTGCTGGTAATGTTCTGTTTCATGATCTAGGTGCTGGTTACATAGGTGCATTCACCTTATGAATATTTATCAAGCTCTATATGATTTGTGCACTTTTCTGTATGTATAATTATAGCTCAATAAAAATGTTTACTAAAAAGAGTAACAAGACTATACATATATATATATATATATATATGCAAACCTAAACTAGTTAGAAGATACTTGAAGAGAAGACCACCTTTGTGATGGCAAAAGTAAAGAGAAAACTTAATGTGTAAATTTAAGACACATTAAAATCTGTATGAGGAAAACTAAAAAAAAAAATCTCTTGAGTGGCAAATATGTAGATTCCAGCAAATGAAAAGATATATGATATTCTTAGATAGAAAGACAACATCAAAACATGTCTTTCCCCACTTAGGTTTATTTATAAATTCAATGCCATTTCAATAAAAATTATATTGTCCTTTGAGAGAACATACTAGAAAAACCGTGGAAACTGAAAAGAATTAGAGAGGACCAGCCATATCCGACACTAAAACATACTCTAAATCTGCCGTGGCAGAAGCTATCAGAATTTTTAAAAGTGTGCACACTTTTTGGCCCAGATACTCTGTATCTACAGATTTAGCATAAAGAAACATGCAAATAGGCAATGATACATTTTCAAGGATCTCACAGCCACATTTTTGTAATTGTGAAAAGACACTGATTATGATACATTTATGTAACTCAATACTATGCAACTGTTAAAGTATGGATATTGGAAGGCATTCCTAATGTTGAATGAATGAAAAGTTTTGTATTGGCCCTTTAAAAATAGGAAGTTCAATGTAACAGAAGAGGAATTCCAGAAATAGACTCAGTGGCATTTAGAATACAGTAAAGGCAGCATCTCAAGTTGGTGAGAAAATGAACTTTTATGTAAGTGCTATTGAGATTACTGGTGCTTAATTATTCAGATATTTACATTTTTAAAAAATAGGTTATTTCACTTTGAACCTTTTATTTTTAAAATCGACGTTTAGTTTTATAATTTAAAGAAAAGGTGATAGTTCTCTCCCTATCCCAGCCTATACTATACCCACAGCCTATACTTCCTGGAGGTAAACACCACTGTTGCATACATCTTTCAGACCTTTAATCTCTCGGTATACAGAGATATAAAAATAGAGAATATATATTCTTTAAATATCTGTACATTTAAGTATTACTCATCCCAATATGATATATACTTATACAAATAGATATATGTGTGTATACTATACATAAAGATCTGAGGTACTAAATATTCTGTGGTATTTTTTTCATTCAACAGTATATCATGAATGCCTTTCAGTAGCCATACTTTAATAGTTGCGTAGTATTGCATTGCATAAACCTATTAGGTCAGTATAAAAGTAATTGCACTTTTTACCATTTTAATGGCAAATGAGGCACTGATTAAATATAATTGGTGCCTTATTTTTCACAACTATAAAAATACTGCTGTGAGATCCTTGAAAATTGTATAATTGCCCATTTGCATGTTTCTTTAAATTTATAGATAAGAACTACTGGGGCAAAAAGTGTGCACAATTTAAATTTGATTTTTTTTTTTTTTTTTTTTTTTTTTGCCAAACTGCTTTTTAAGAAGGTTGTACTAATGCACACTTTTATCTTGGCACTAAGATTTTAAATATGATCAGAAAATAGGTTCCTCATAGTAAAACACTGTCTAATTGTAATAATTGTGGCATTGGAAAAGAGCTTTGTGGCTTAGTTCCTCAAACTCATTTACAAATTATAAATCTGAGCTCCAAATATGAATTAACTCACACAAGATCTTTAGTAATTAGTAGCAGTACTGTAACTAGAGTGCATGTTTTCTGTCTCCAGAAATAACATTCTTTTTATACCACATTTTTTTAACTGAGGTGATCATTCTCCAACCTCTTCTTTCCACGTTTTTCCATGTTTGTTCTAACTTTTCATTAAATATCTTGAGGCTCTAACTAAATTAAGGGTGACCATTAAAAGTCTATGTGGGATTCCTTGAACCAACTGGTAATGCACTACCAGCATATAAGGTGTCCTCATTGAAGCAGTTGGTGATTGGTATGTGGGACCTCACTCAGGTATGTTTGCATCTTCTTGTGAGTATAAATATGTCAAAAAGTTTTCTTAAATTATGAGTGGGAACATGAAAGACATATAATTCACTGGGGAAATTGTGAAAAGGTAAAAGATTATGAATTTAGGCTCAAAGCCAATTTCCCTCTCATTTAATCCTACATGAGCAAGTCAAGGAGTTTGGTAGAGCTTTATGAAATCTCTAAGGAGTGAAGGAACACAATCACTAAAGTCAATTTGATAAAGTGCAGCTAAGTAGTATGCTAACCGATTAATGGATTTTCATCTTGTCATGTAAGTTTCAGCAATTGAGTACCACACTAGAACACCCACAAATGAGATTCTATTACAGAATATCTTTCTTCTACTACAGAACATATTGTAGACAATCATTCAGTGGTTAAACTGTAGAAATAATCAGAAGATGCTTTTCACTTTTATGACTCAATACTTTTTAATATTTCTCATATTAAGAGAAACTTAGGTTATTTACAACTCATAAATGTTGCTGTGAATGTCATTTAGTCACTTAGTTATTTTTATGGGGTTCCTAGAAAGAAATTCCTGTACTAAAGGATTTATGCTTTAAAAATATTGGTAGTTACTGCCAAGAATTGCCATCCAGAAACAGTAGCCATTTATAAACTCAACAACAAGGTATGAGAGTAGCTGTTTCCTCATATCCTTTGCGACACTAGGTTTTATCAAGCTTAAAGTTTTTTCATTCTATGTGGGTGAAAGTGGTATTCCGTTATTGATAATGTGTGGACAATCAAGTTCTAATAAGTCTGGGGGGAGGTTAATTCTTTATATGTGCTGTATGAATTAATGCCAACTGTATGCCTGTGAGAGTGAAATCAGAATAACGTCTGTCCACTAAAGCAGGACTTAGAGCACTAGTTTTCCAAGTGTGGTCTACAGATGGAAACATTAGCATCACCTGGGAACTTGTTAGGAAGTGCAGATTCTCTGGCCGTACCTTAGACCTCCTGAATTAGAAACTTTGGGGGTAGGGTTAGACATTTGTGTTTTAAACAAGCCCTCCAAGTGGTTTTGATGCACACTCAAAGTTGAGAACCAATCACTGATATAGAAAAAGCAACTTGGGTAGAAACAGTAGTCGAGAGCCCCATAATTATTTGCAAATTTATATTTTAAAAAGATAGGATTCTTAACAGTAAGCTCAATATAATTCAACAATGTGATCTTTACTCCTACCCCCCAAAAAGTAATATGATCTTAGTCTGTGGTAGCAGGATCGAAAACATAATAAATGCTCAGATATGAAAAAGAAAATATAACATTTGTTTCCTCAAATGGATTTCATGTTTATTTGCCCATATGTTCGAATATTAAGGGATTGGGGGGAGGCTAAGGAAAAGGGCCATTTGAATGTGTTAGCTAACAATCTGAGTCTCTTCCAATTTCAACAGTGACTTTTTTTCCTGCTACTTGCTGTCTGGGCATATGTGAGTCTTTCTGGGGCATGGGAGGGTCTCTGTTGCACACTGCTGCCCTGGTCTGTTCCCTGGACTGGTGCCTACTAAGGTGTCTGCTACTAGTGTGACTTTTTTTTTTTTTTTTAAGTTCTAGGGTACATGTGCACAACGTGCAGGTTAGTTACCTATGTATACATGTGCCATGTTGGTGTGCTGCACCCATTT